TAAGAAATTATGAACTGTTTCTAACTCAGGGGATGCCACATAGTTAAAAGGAGTAATCTCTGCAGAAAATGCTGTTTTTTTGAATCTCTAAGTGGAGGGTGCTATAAGGATTGTAACACACAGTGAGGCAAAGTGGCTTGTTAGCATATTCTGGGAGATGCTAGGCTCACAGCTACACTCTATTTTTAGTGTGCCAAGTTCCTTGAGCTGGGAATTACATGCCCAGCACAGAGTGTAGATGTACCTGTTGCCCAGGGAGTTCCCCAGTGCCAACCCTCAGAGCACACTCCATACCACAACTCTCTTCTGGCCTGACACGCTCATTGCCCTAAGTCACAGGTGTTGAAATCTGCATCTAAAAGGTGTTGTGTAAGGTGTTATGCAAACTGCTATCACACCGGTCATTCATATTGTTGTGTGATGCATGAATGGGTGAGGTTTAAATAACAATAGATGTGTGCTGGAAATATGTTCCTATAATGTGTGCCTAAGCCCAGGTGTCCTAAACAAAGGGCTGTTGTTTCGCTGGCTTGACTGTGTCTCCAATGTAAATTAAGTGTGGAAGCAGAGGAAGAACTGTCATGCATTGCATCCCCTTCCTGTCAGTTCTTTCTCTGCTTCCACATAAGCAAGGTGAGAGCAAAGAGAAAGAAAAGTCCATTTATGTGTAAGGTAAACAAAGCCATTGGGACAATAGATGTGTGCCTAAGCCCAGCTGTCCTAAACAAAGGGCTGTTGTTTTGCTGGCTTGACTGTGTCTCCATTGTAAATTAATTAAGTTGAAAGCAAAGCAAAGAAAACTCCATGTACATGTAAAGTAAACAGAGCCATCAGGCAAACAAGTAGGGGACGATGACCCCTTAACAATCTCGATGGGGGATGGAGGCTGCACCCCCAGGAAGCCTTCCTGCCTCTTCAAACAGGGTGAATGAACTTTGGGAAGATTTGAGCAGAGGCAAAAAGCCATTTTGTTATCTGTCACCTCAGGGTCAAAGGAGGAGCAGCGCCCTTTGAGCTCATGTAAAGTGGATCTTCTTGGTCTGGAAAACAAGTGTAGCTGGAACTGATTAGGTGAAAAATCTGCTTAGACAGAGACTGTAACTTGATGGAGTTACTTTTTGAGTCACTAGAAAGCATGTTTTGTTTTGTTTTACTTATTATACCTGTGTCTGCCATTCCTAATTATTATTCCTTAAATATCTGTTCTTTGTTAATAGATTCACTCTAGTTTTATCACAAAACCATCCCAGTGCACTGTATAAAACTGAAGGGTAAAATCCTCAGCCAAACTAGCAGGCTCGTATCTCTTTGGAGGCAGCGCACTTGATAACTTCTGTGAGTACCCAGTGAGAGGGACTGACCGCAGCCGAATGATGTCTCTGGGGAACTCGGACACTGGGGTTGACTGATGGTTCCCGGTAAGGCGAGGTTTGGACTGGCAGAATCCTGAGGCGTTGCTAGCCGGGCAGGCGAGCTGGTGTGGCAGGGAGCTGACAATAGCTGAGCAGCACAAAGCTCTCACTTGCTGAGGCAGAGCAGTAACCGTGTCTGACAGTTCTGAGTGACCTGAGCAAGGCCTCACATACCCTCACTTTCACCATCTGTAAAATGGAGGGGATAATAATACCCACCTACTGCCCAGGAGCTTTGTGAGGATTAACTAAAGTTTGGACAGTACTTTGAACACATCAAGTGCTACAGAAATGGTGAGTGCTCTGAAGAATCAGGCTCTGGGAGGTCTCCGATTGGTGTCCCACCACCCCAAGTTAGAGAAGACTTTGGAAATTTTGGCTTTAATCATCTGAGGTAAAACTTCCAAAAACGCCTAAGTGACCAGGAGCCTAAGTCCCCTTTGCAATTGGGACCTAGGCAAACAGATGCTGAAGTCTTCATGGTATGGAGCTCCTAAGTGACTTACGAAATTGAAAGTTAAGTCCCTAAATCACTTGGTGCTTTTGAAAATGTTTCCATGGGCAGCAGCCACCCAGTGCAGTCAATGATGCAGGAGCTGTGGGGAACAAATAGTATGTGTGCCTGAAATTAGACTGTATCATAATGTATCTGCATAAGGGGGCAGGAGAATTAGCAACGTACAGACAACCTTACTGCTGGTATTTCCTAAATTTTGAGTATCTGACTTTCACTAAAAAACATTATCCTTTTCTCTCCTCTCTCTCTCTCTCTTCTTTTATATGTAAGTGTAACCCTTCTGCCCATCTAAGTTGGCAGCAACAAGGGCTGGGTTCTGTATCTAGGGGTTCCGTTTCAATAACGCAATGCAAAACCGGCTCGAGCCCCCACCCAGTGACCTGGGACAATTACATACCACCCCCTGGGCGCCTCTAAGAGGCAATACTTCCCCTCTCGCAAGCACGGAGTCTGAGTGTAGCAGAAAATC